TTTTTTTTTTTTTTTTTGCTTAGAATGAAGATTAAATTGAACATATACAATTTGTGTTTATTCTAGCTATCTTTCTTTAGTTTGGTTTTTTATATTGATAGTTCAGGGCTATAGAAAATCAAAAAGGTCTTTCTTGTAAGGATAGCTTCTCATCTCCCTTTTTAGGTGACATAGGAAAATTACTGCAAGTAGATGGAATGACTCGAGTAAGTGATTCCTCGTCGGAAGAAGAAATGGATGAGGACGATGATGATGATCCTTTGAGGACTATTGTTGATCGTATTAGTGAGGAGGGAAACGCAGTTGAAGATGAAGAACAGGTATCTGATTCATAGCAAAGTTTTTTCGTGCGAGTGCTGTATTGTATGATAATTTTTGCTGTCATTGCTTTTACTTTTTGTATTCAAGATTTTAATATAGTAAGAGCACTCTCTTATCATTTGGTTGTTTCATTTTTATCACATGCAAAATATTTCATCTTAGCAGTGTCCGAATAGTAATCGTCAAAAAGTGTACTTCCCTAATGATTTATAAACATGAAGCAATCGATTTTAGGTAGTTGAAGAGGATCCTCTGAATTCAGGTGATGATCAAAGTGATGACGAGGATGTCGATAGGCTTTTTGAAGCTGAAAACCTTGTTATGTGTCAGTTTGAAAAAGTATGGTTTGTTGTGATGTTTGATTATGTTCGATATTTCCTTGATTTTTTTAAAACTCGATGTTGAAGGAAGCTTTTATTAGCATTGTAGGTTTTTGTTGTTGATTATTATCAGAAGGTGAATTTTCACTTCACTTTTTGTTGCTGAAAATTAATAATGTATTTTTATCTGCTGGTCGATCCTTTTTCCTTGATATAACAGAGAATTTATTTTTCACTGTTCATAAATTTGATGAGCTTTCCTTTATGCATTGCATTATTTGATATCAGTACTGCAGTTTAAGTAGAGTAAACTTTGCAGGTTCATCGTGCTCGGAGTAAATGGAAGTTTACGCTAAAAGATGGAATAATGCATATTCGGGGAAAAGATCATTGCTTCCAGCGTTGTTCAGGTGAGGCAGAGTGGTAGAAACAGTTTCGATAAAAAGCTAGATGTCTTACTAATGTGTTTATATATGTACAAGGTTGAGAGTGTTGCGTAATTATAATTGATAATATTTTCTGGCGCAGCTCCTATAAACTTTTTCAATAAAATAGTATTTTCACTGATTAGTTGAAAAGAAAATTTGGGTTGATTTGGCAAAGTATCTCAATTATTTTCGAAATCCAGATTTTTTTGAAACCTTTTAAAGATTTTAAGCTACATTCAAGTTGCGGAAGAAATTCCTGTTACACTCAAAAATTCTATCAAAATAGAATAAGTTAATAGATTGTGTAAATCAGCAAATTAAATTTGATATTTATTTGCTTGTATGTTGTTGATTTTTTGAGTATCATGGAAACAAGGAAACGAGGACTGATGAATTTCTGTTGTGCCGTAGATTTAATGTTGAGATGTTACTAAATATGTATGTAGCGTGCTTGCTTGTTTTCTTCTTTCATCATTCATTGGGTGGTATAATTTTCTAAGTAAATTCGTACAATTAACTTTCTCGCAGTAGACCTATTTTTCAGTGCCTTGTACTCCTTTCATTCTGTTTCTCGCTTTTCTTGTTTGATTACCCTTTTTTCAGTTTTTTATAGAAAATTTCATTGTTGGCATAGTCTGATTAATTTTCTCTGATTATGTTGGTTTAAAAATTTTTCTAACTATAAATTTTCTTGACGCTTTATTTTGATAGATTAGATGATTTAGCTTTTTATTCTGTTTCATTCGCAGTGGATAACGAACTTCTAGAAGTATTTCATACTATGGAATATATGTTTGCATTACTGCTTTACTTCAAAAGAAGCTAAACAACTATTCGTAAATAAATGAATAGTTTCGATCAGAGCCAATGGTTTTAGACATATGTCCGAAGCCATCTCTAACATAGCTCAATTTTCGGATGAAGAGTGTTGAAAACTTCAAAGAATTTCAGTGTATGCTTGTACAGCATTCATAACATTTTTTCCAAATTTAAAGATCACACTTCGGTTGCTTGAAACTGTGTGCTCTCTGTTTATCAAGTAACTTCGCTACTCACATAAAGTTGCTAGACGCATAGGAGATGGCGAAGGTGAATTAGCACAGACTAACAGTACTTCTTTGGTCTCCTATCCATAACAGTGTCGATGGATCAGTTATTTTTTTTATCTTGGTCACCAAAATTTCTATTTTTTCCATCAGTCGCCTACACCTGGATCGAAAATATGGTCTTGATTTGAACAGAAACCTAGATGTAGAGTTTCTCAGAACAAATGTCGCAAATTAAGCAATTTTTCATTCCATAGTTTCCGGTTATGCATTGTTATGAGTAAAGGAAGCAGAACGATGTGATCTTATGCGCAAATACATCACATTAAAATATTCATGAACTATAATTTACGCATTTTAAGACATAATTGGTCTGTGCTTTTGTAATTCTCACGTGTACTACCGATGCTATCTGTTCATAAGTTTTCTAGAATGTGGTAGTTACTTTTATGCAAATTAAATACTTGGTTGAATGCATAGTTGGAGATGAAAACATTGATATTGCATTAATATGACGATATGGGGATTGTCATGTAAGAAGACAATTTGTCTTTGGTTTGATAATGATGATTTCATACGAAGATAAGTATCAGTAAAGTCCAGTTTTGTTTCCATACTCATTTTCTAGCGTGTTTAATGTCGTGGCGGAAATTAAACAAGAAAAAAGTGAAAGGGAAGTATTCGAAGATAGAAAATAATAATGCGCAAACATGTATTAAATAAAAAAAGGCGAAATAGAATCGGAAATTTAAAGATTGAAAAAATAATTAAGTAATGAACGAAGGTGAAACCTGAATCGCAATATAGATTATATATTAGTTCTTACTAACTTGTTTGGTTGTCAGGTTATTCGAGCATGTTTATTATGTTTGATGTTGAGTGAGCTATTAATTTTTAATGTATTGTATACTTTAAATGCTTATATACTAATGTCTGCAGGAAGTTCAGTTCAGTACGTATCACTTTATTCTGTAACAAGTATATTTTACTTTGTCGTTTGAAAAATTTGCATATTGATAATTCTCATTGATTGTATCGTTTTCAAAGATTAAATATGGTATTTTAATGATCTACAATGTGTAACACACTTATTTATGAAGTATTGGCAGTGGCATTTATGTTAATATAAATTCAAACATCATATTTATTAAACATCATATTTATTACTTTAAAACTGTGTTATTTGCTTTTTAAATTCTCTTTTAATCATTCGACTTATCATTTTATTTATATATTCCAATTATATCTTAATGTTTTTTTTTCGTCAATTTATTAGCATTTTTATTTTAATTTTGTAGCCTTATTTTCTCAGATAATGAAATTAAAAATGTAATCATTATTGGATTTGAATTCTATTTAATGAATTTAATGCTTACTAACTGTCCATAAATGCTTTGAAAAATTTTATTCTTGTTTTAGCTTTAAAAAATGCTTCGAAATTAAGCAAAAAAGAGCAGTACTTTACATTTAATTAATTAAGCTATGAAAAATTATTACCTATCTAAAAGGGAAAGTAGTGCTTAACTTTGTAAATTGGTAATTTGATAGATAAGAATAGAAATGCTATGGAGCAAAAATAAGTGATCAGAAATAGCAAATGATGGATAAGTAGTAGAGATTGCATATTTTTGCTATAAAAATAAGCATATTTTTTTAATATAATATTTTTATTCTATTTATCAGATTAAAAATAGACTCAGATTGTATAAGATTGAAGCATGTTTTATCTGCCTTATTTGCATTTTATTTAGAATTCAAAACTGCAAAATTTCAGTAGTTGTAGTAATTAGGCTTATTATCTGTCATTCAATTAAATTTTGATGTGTAATTTCAATTAAACTAAACAATAGAGAAGCAAATAAACAAATTAAGATAGAATTATTAAGACTTATTCAGCGTCAGAACTAATAAAGCGAAAATAAAAACTAACTACATTTTATATATTAAAGAAGTTATTAGAGATTATTTATTTAAGAATTATTATCTATCTGAAAGGGAAATTGTCATAACCATAATGGTGGTATTATTTTGTCAATCATTTATAACAAAAAGTAATGTGCAGTAATAATGGAATTGTCAGAAGAATTTATTCAAAAAAATAAATTAAATAAGAATAAAAATACAAGATACAAATGAAAAGTAATCACATCAATTGTTAAATACAAGAAATATTATTAAATATAAAAAGTAATTTATTTTATATTGGAGTGGTTTGTTGGTACCATTATTTTTCACTTGCATTAGAGGGATTTGATTGTTCTAACTTTGGTGGTACGAGTGGTACTTTAATTAACAATGCTGGATTATCCTCACATGCAATTGGTATATCTTCTGTTCTTTCGTTCACATGGATATGAGGAGACTTGCTTGAGCGTGGCTTAGCCCTAGAAGTAGATATTAATAAATTGAATATTTCTAACTAATGATATTAAATTATTTTTATTATGCAATAATAATCATTAAATTAGTTATGCCTTTCTTAATTTAATAATAAATATGATTGAATTTTTTCTCTTCTATTTTAATTTTCATTATAAACTACATTTTTATGATGAATTTTGTAAATTTTGAATTGTATAACTTTTTTACAAAATTATTCAAATCTCAATTTATAGCAGAAAAATTTAATTAAGTATTGAAAAAGACAGATAATGCAAAATAAATTTAAATGCTAATAATTGTAATCTATAAGATTTAGTCTAGTCGAACTTGGGGATTTTCAAAATTTTTTGTTTCGGTTGCAAATTGAGATTTTTCTTCAATCGCCTGATTTCTCGGTTACAAATATCCACGACATCCGGTGCAAGTGGCAAATCTATATCAATTGACTTTTCAGTTAGCAAAGCTAATCGGACTTGCGCATTTGCTTCTGGACTATTTGGTTGTTCGATTAACAAAGTTGCCTAAATTGCCTGATTAGCAATTAAAAGTACAAGTAAAAGTTGCCTGATTAGTAATTAGAAGTAAAATTTTAAATTGTATTTGAATGAGTGAATTGCATACAATTAAATTTTTGGTTAAAAATCACAAAAAAGGTATTAAATTTTAGAATCTAAAAATGCTTAACACAACCAATTTAGCAAAATAAATTGAAATTATAGTGATTATTTTTTGCTTTTATCAATGTAATCTAAAATATTACATATCCATGTTTCTTTAATCGTTCGCTAATTATATCTGATGCGTCAGAAACGGTTGTCACTGGCTTGTGATCGACGTCAAGAATAGCATCACCTGACAGTAAACTCATTGCCGTCAAAGTATGCTCAACCACACGTGTGACGAACACCTAAATATTTTTACTTTTGAAAATTCAAGCTTAACAATCTTCATATATTAATTTAATATAAAAGTAATGCACATATCTGAGAGTGAATTAGCTTTGCTAGTTAATTTCGATGTAAATTTTAATCATTTTCGAAAATTATACTTATTTATCTTATCTTTTGAAGACTTATTACTTATAAAATTACTCACTTAAATCACTTAATTATTAGTTAGATTACTTAAATTACTTAATTATTACTTAAAATTATTATTCCACTCATGCATATCAATTTTTCTTTTGACTTAATAATTAATGCAGTATTAATAATTGCAATATTTAATAAATATTTAATAAACTAAATAAATTATCAAACTTTGCAATTGTACGATTTAACGGCAAGCGCTAGACGACATCCATTGATCAAATATAAAATTGCTATGTGATATTTATAATTTGGGCTTGGTTCATAACCTTTGGGGAAACGATAATCATGCAGTTCCATTTTAGTACACAGACGTATTCCACTAATTTTGAACTTTAATAATTAATTAATTAATTAATAACGCAAATTATGTCTACAAAAATTATTTTTTCTCATAAATTAATCAAGCAAAAAAATAGTGAAATTATTTGAGTAGGTGAAGTAAGTAATAAGTTTCGTATAAAATAATAAAATCATTTATCCCTAAATATCATCCCGCAATAATTTATTAAATATAATATTAGTTTAAAAATAAACAAAATTTTGCCTTAAAGAATTTTTGAAATATTTGATAAAGTTCTTATGAATACAACAAACTTTTTGAAGAAAAATATTAAAAAAAAGAATAAATTGGAAAATTTTCAAGGCTATTTATGATAATGATTAGCGTTGTAATGATAATAAATTTTAGCATGAGATTAAACTTTTTGAAATTAATATTTTTTCAAATATCTTTTTAAAAAATTTGAGTATTATAACATTTATTATAATATTTATTATAATACTTAGTCTTACTGCTAATAAGTATTATAATATTTGATGATATTTGATCTTATTATAATATTTATTATAATACTTGATCTTTGCTGCTAATAATCATAGAAGAAAGAAACCTTGTAATCATTTTTGCATTTTTCCAATATTATTTTTTCTAGTTCTTCGCGCGATTCTACTTTTTTGTCATCAACTTCTGTAATTAAATCACCATATTGCACCACTCGTTCTGCTACTGCTCCACGTTCAACCTTTGATATTGCTAATCCTTTTGTTAGCTTAACTCCAATCTAGCAAAAAAATTACACAGATATGCAAAATTTTTTGGTTTTATTATAAAAAAGGTGTATTTTTATTAGATTTACTACCCCACTCTCTCATATACCTCATAAAAATTACTGGATTTAGAATACTCAGAAGCAGACCTCTAATATTTGGCAAAAAAATGAACTCTCATTATTTATAGTCTGAATAATAATAGTACAAATTAATAGTAAGAAATTGCCAAATTATTAAAGCAAACGTGTAATTATTTTAAAACCAAATTAGAACTAACATTGACATTCTTTTTGCCTTCAATAAATCCTTCAAAATGTTGGCAATAATGTGACGGTATTTTTTTGCCTATTGCGTGAATATGCACGTGGTCTATTTTCTGAATAATTTTTTATACATTATTGAAATTCGAATTATTCAATCAAATGCAACTGATAATTCACAATGATATTGATGTTATTGAAAATTGTAATAATTGTCGTTTATCATTCATTATCAGTATAAATATCATTCATTATCAATTCAGATGCATACAACTGCATTCTTAGTTGTTATACAGTATGATTTGCGTTAAATTATGATTTCGGATGATATATGTAGATGTTATGATATTCTTTGAATACAGTTTCTTTCATACAGTTTTACAAAAAATGAGAAGAAATACAGTACAAAATATTTCTGCTCAATGTGAATGAAAGTAGTTATCTTAAATACAAAAAAAGAAATTTGAAAAGAAATTAAATTCGAAAAATGAGGAAAAATTGAAACGAACGTTGTATATGTTGTCTTTTATTTTTGAAATCACCTCGCCTGCCTTGGACAAGTGTCCTGTAGAACTTGATTCAAAGTAATTCTTTTGTCATGAATCTTATTTTAATTTAAGTTCAGAATATGAGACAAAATGAATTTGTCATTCTATTTATTAGCAATAATTATTTTTGAACAATTTAAAATACTTTATTTTATTAAGTCTTGTTCAATTATTCATTACACGTTTACAAAATGTGTGAATGTGTAATGAATAATTGATCGAAATTACTTTGACCTCAAAATTACTTTGACCTTGTCACCTATGGAATTAGAGCTGATTAAAAGTCAAAACAAAAAAATTAAAAAATACAATATCGATAAATTAGTTTTTGCTGGCTTAAATAATTTATTTGAATGAATTCATATGCTTTAGTAAATTTCACCGATATGAAATGATCATACCTTGCATGGCAGTGACTCGATGGATTTTGTAATGAACCACTGAATCCCGTCGAGTAAGTACCGATCTTCTTTGGGTTCTTCAAAAAAATGAATGACAAAAATGGATGTGCAAACATTTTTGAAGAACTTTATAAGCTTATTATAATTATTTGCATATTTATAAAAATTTACATATTCTAATTTCGATCATTGAGTTTGTACTACTAAATTTCCTTAAAATGGAAAGTTGTACTTTTCAATTTTATAAATAAAAAATTTGCATATTTTAAATCAAAATATCGGTGCCTTTTTTAATAATTATAATTATAATTTTGTAATTATATGAAAAAAATACGCAAAGCCAAAAGTTATATGAATAAATGAATTTTGCCAATGATTGAAATAAAATATACAAAAAAAAATACAACTAGCTTGCCATTCATTTTTATCAACATCATATTTTTGATTAATAGACAATTTCCTTTCAAAAGGCCCCAATATTTCAATTCAAAATATGCAAATTTTTTATTTATAAAATTGCTAAGCACAAGTTTCCATTTCGAGAAAATTTATTAATACAAACTCAATGATCGAAATTATAATATGTAAATTTTTATTATTATCATTATTATTATTCTAGTATTGCTAGTATGAAAGAGCTATAAATTTTTAATTAAGCAGCCCATCTATCTTAGTAAAAAATTTGATTACATCACACATTACTCCTTCTACTTATGCAAAAATGGATTCATAAGCAATCAAACAAATCGTTATTTCAGAACAGCTTTAAATAAGAATTAATTAAAAGATTGACCTCCTTTGTGAACACGGATTATTTTGATGTTAATTAGAATTGAAAACTTTGACCTATTATAAAAATAAATTATTGTCTCATTCGGCAACCATAATTTGAATTATTAGAAAATAGTAAATCCAGAATTACTGTATACTGTCTGTTTATAGCAAATGATTTCATTTTTGTTGTAAAAGTAGCCATTTTTAATATTCATTAACAAATTATGTTTCAACTATTTTTGAATAATTTATCAATTTGAACTGATAAAATGGTAAAATTAAGTACTGCTCAAGTGTTATAGTAATAATAATAATTTCAGCTGTGATGGCAATAAAAATGATATTTTTGATTGCATGCATCTGATTAATATATACGCGTAATGTATTACAAAAATCTGTACATTTTTTATTGCAAAAAAAAAACACAAACTATTTACTGAAATAATTAATTTTAAATGACTGTGAACATTTAGTAGCAAAACAAATTATGGTTATGATGAATATTAGAACAGAGCAAAGTACGAAAGTGAAATAATTTATTGGTACGTGCGGTTTTTACTTCAATTCAATGTAATAAATTTGTATTATTGTATGATACAGTAATAGACTGTAATTTCTAGTCCTCTTTTGTATACCAAATGTAATACATCCAATAGCATGTCGAGAAGAATAAAAACACTGATGGAAATACACTTCGGCTATCTACAATTATACGTCACTCAAAGTAACAATTATTACTGTAATATTTCGTGTATAGAAGTTAAAAAACTTTTTAATAATTTCAAAGAAAATTCATTTTTAATTTAATACATATGTTCAGAAAGTATATTTTTTCACTCACAGCTTACTGTACTTTTTATACAATGTTGAAATTCGCAGTAAATTAAAAGTTTTTTTCTTCAATTTAAGTTTTCATTCTAAAATTTGGCTATAAAATTTTTAAGAGAATTATGCAAAAAGTTCTAATTACCATTTTTTCAATAATTTGTTTAGCAAATAAAAATAATAATAATATTTTTGGGGTGATAATTAAAATAAAAGTTTTAAAATTTTTATTACAATAATTTTAATATTTTTATTACAGTAAGTACTTACACAAATCAATTTGCCTTGCAATGAATTCATTTGATGCCGAGCATTTTTGACATGGTTTTGAGATATCAAAATTATTAAAGAAATTAGCTTGTTCATCAAGTTGTCGTTTTGTAAATAACGTCTAAAATTTTGAATATAATATTTTTGTAATAATTATCAAATATGCATAATTAGCGTATGATTAAGTTTAGACCTTGAAGTGACAAATTAATAATTACTTAAATATTTCAAATATTTTTTATAAACATTCAATTTCCGTGAAAATTTCGATTAATGCTGCACACTTTTTATAAAAATGTTAAAGTGAAATGTACAATGGTTATATTTGACATTTAAATCACAAATTATATAAAAATAATAATTTGATTAATAATTAATTTTTCCGTCGAAAGAGTTATTAATTTATTAATTTAAAAATTTTGTTCACTTTTTCAGCTTTATTGAGTAAAGCTTAACTGCAATAAAATTATGTAAAATTAAAATACTTGAAAAATTGCAAAATTAATTCTCAGTCAAGACTTTACTCTGTAATACTTAAAAAATTTTTTTAATCAAAACTTTACGTACAGAAAAATTATAAAAAACGTAATATTTATTTTTTTTATGACTTACTTTTTGTAATAAAAAAATATTCAATTTTATACTTATTTAACTTACAAACTCAAAGTGATAAATTAATTGTCAAAATTGAGTATATCTATTTGTAAAGTGTTTTTCTATCTTCTGTTCATATTACATATTTGATTTGGTCAGATATCAATTGTTACAAAGTTTCAGAAGAAATTTAGTTAAATTTGAAGTTATGCAAATATATTTAATTATTCAGTACAAAATTATGGTACGAAGTTTTGTAAGAATGATTGCTTTCATTACAAGGTTAAATCGAAAAAAAACATCTGGTAATACAAAATTGATTTGATCAATCATTTTTGATTTGATCAGACTATAATTACAAATTTCCGCGGCAAAAAGTGATTAATTTAAAATTATAATTGAGAATGTTAACCTCAAAATGAACTCAATTGTTTCAAATTTTATTATGAGTAACTTACAGCTTTGTTACGGAGGCAACGCGTTAGTCCAGCTGTATATGAAAAGTTATTCACGTTTGCGTGACCATTATTCACCGAAAACCTTCTTGTACCTGTCATTAATAGACTTTGTGGTTCTGATTTTTTCTGCAAATCATTTTTTCCCATTATTTAGCATAAATTATTAGCTGAAAAATAAAATTAAATAATACTTCTGCTGTGTATAACATTTCCATCGCTAAGATTTAATCGCAAAATCCAAATTATCGCAATGTCAAGTTGTAATTCTATTTACAAATAGTATAATTCCATGAGAGTATTTAATTAATTTTTTAAGTATTAGAAAAATTTCAAACTGACAAATGTCGCTGAAAGTTAGAATAAAACAGATTAATGCTTAATTTTCAGATGACCTTTTCTTTTTCAGGATAAAGTTCAGCGGCTCCAAATACACGGCGATGGATACAATTGTAATCTCGTTTAGTTAGATAGTAACTGACAAATGAGTATTCTAATAGCACCAGAAATATTAAAGCCTAAATAACTTATTTTATTGTGAGGAAAAATTTAGAAAAATATTCCATATTTGCTAATTTTCATATCAACCGAAATATTAATAAAAATATATAATTTAAAAAAAACTTTTAAAAGGCTTTTTTTCGTACAAAAGTTTACCTATCTTTTTTAATATGTCAGTAAATCTATTTTTCTAATAATACAGTAATGCAATTATTTACAATTAGTTATACAAAATGGATCAAAATCTCCTTAACATTTATTGCTTACAGTACAGTTTAATTTGAAGACTGTGCTTGCTAGCATTTATTGCACTAAGATTCACCTTATATTATTTAAAGTAACTATGAATGACTGTAAGCCATGAATTACTTCGTAAAAATGTTACGATCATGCTACTACCAATCAAAAAAAACTTTCGATTATAATTGAAAATGATTTTGAGGAAAATTTGGGATATAACTTCAATTTGTAATGGATCTTATCGTTTCAAAACTATCTCATTTTATGCAAATTCAAATTGTTACTTTATCGCATTATTTATATATTACTGTAAATTATCGGAATTATACAGTGCTGTGACCATTACTGAGAAATATCAAAGTCTTATATGGTAGTATGCAATTCGTATTTATGCAAATATAGAAATGAATTTACGCAAAACAAAATCATCCATAGTAGCATTTGAAATAAAAAGTATTTTTAGAAAAAATACAAAAATTATAAATTTTTGATATTTAATTATTACTTTAAAAGTCGACGCTTTTTTAAATCAAACAAAAATTAAAATAATTAAAATTACCTGTGAGAATGTCAACCAAATATCCAGTGCTTTAATATAGCTAACCTGAATTAATTTACTAAATATTATTTCAAACTGTGATATGTTTCCTGACAAAATTGCTTAGAAAATTTAAAAATAAAAAGAAGCATTTTAAAAAATTAAATATTTAAAAATATTTTTGGCTTTTTTTGCAAAAACTTAGAGATAAAAACAGTATTGAAGTTTTAAAATTATTCTTTCTTATAAAATTTAAAATTTATTTTTCAACTGATCACTATTTTTGTAAATATGTTCTTTGCAGTATTTAAGTTTCAAATTACTGCCATGATAAGTTATTCTTGATTTTTACTAATATTTATTCATTTATATCAGTAAAAGATTTATTTTTCAAAAAATTGTGCAAGCTTTATTTGAACTAATTTGGAATGAAAAGGAAATTTAAACACTTTTAGTTTATTATTTAATTTTTTTTAAATATTCAAAAAAAATTACAATTTCATTATTAAGAACTAAATTACTGTACTTTGAATTTTAAAGTAATTTATTACTGCTTATCTTATTAATCAGAATCCCTCACAAAGGATTTAAGTACTACGCTTGTTATTTAAAAAGTCATGAGCTTTTTGCTGCTATTCTCTGATAACATATTTAATCAAACTTGTGGTAAATCTTGTCTGGCACCATTACTCATTGTAGTCAGCGTAAGTAAAGTAGTAATAGTAAGTGTAACTCGAGCAGGTGAAGCTCGAGGGTCTAGCCAGAAGCTCATCCATGAGATTAGGACGAGCATTGCCGTTGGGATATACGTCTGGATGACGTGGAATAGCATTAATCGTTTCATGACAATCAGCCCACGAATGCATGACCAGTTCCCTTAGAAAATGAGATCAGTGGAAAGTCGTTTTAACATCTTATTCAACAATTTAAAATATAAGATAAAAGTTTTTTTTGCAAACTCCTTAAATCTACTCTATACTTGTAAGTTAGCTGATTAATCAATAACAATCATTATCAGTAACAGTAATTCTGCAATAATAGTAATAGATGGTAAACTTTTTATGATTTGCAATAAAATTAAATAAATGATCCAATTCAAAAACAATCTGTTAGAAACATACAGTAAGCAGTAATAATGATAAATGATATTGAAAATAATCGTAACAATTTTTACCACTGCCTCGAAACATAATGTATGGTGTTAGGCACTTCTCAAATTTAGTATCCGTAATTACCATATCATTAATTTTGAGTTCACTATTACTTCCGAATGGAAAATATGGTGGATCCTGATGCCAAGTCAAATTTACCATATTTTCTACATAAGCATCTGAAAAATATATTCATTAAATTATTCTCAGATAAAGTTACTTTCATGCAAAATGTTTTTTATTTTATTGAAAATAAAAGATTTATCCAAAAAAAATGTAACAACAATTTTAGAACTGAACAAATTTTAAGACTAATAAAAATTTTAAAACTAAAAATTTAATTATTTTGTATAATAAGAAGTGTCAGATGAATTTAAAGTTAATCAAATATTAATAACTAATTATTTTGCTTAATTTTTTTTAATTCATTAATTAGCTTAATTTTTATGTGGGATGCTATAAAATCTGTTTGCTATTATCATAACTGTAATTTTTTTGCTATAATTTTTTGCAAACAAATAAATAATGTCAACAAAAATAAATATTAAAATATTGACATTTTTTTAAAAAATTTCAAAAATTTTCTTTTTTTGCAGTTAATTAATTAATTAATATTAATTGATTAAAATTAAGTCAATAATAGTAATACTTTCATTCAAGATTTTTTCTCCCAGAAACTGTAAATAAGTGTGGTAATATTTTTGAATAAGGGAATATGAAGACATTTGTTATGTAGATAGTTGAAAACATTTAGAATTGTCATTAATTGATATGATCAAAAAACGTGTGATTTTTCAAATGCTTTCAAAGCATTTTACGTTTAAGCTTGTCTAATCCCAAGTGTAGTCCGATACTTAAAGAAAGACTAAAAATTACAGCTTTGGATTACAAGTGGACATTCTTGCTTATCCATCGGGAATCGCTGCAAGTCCATCATGCAAGATAATGTCACGTCTAGCCTTTAAGAAGTTGTAATCATAATAATAAATCTCGAATATTTTACAGCAAAAAACAACATAAACAGTTAAAGAATAAGTGTATACAGATTAAAAATTCAGTAATTTGAACTATAAACTTAATTATAAAATTAAAAAATCTTTACGTTGACAAAAAAATCTGAGCGTGAATACGTCAATTTTTCTAATTTAGATTTAATTTGCTATAATTAATGTACAAAACATCAATTTTCATAAATATCAAGTAATTAACCACATCACGTCACTTACAAAAGTTTCAATTTTAAAAATACTTTATTGAATTATATAAAGTTTAGTATAGCAAAAGTGTCTTGAAAAAGTTGATTACTTTAAGAATTCTCATTTTGTCTCAAAATACTCATGGAAGTAACCATTTTTCATTTTTACTGATACCATAATCTGATATATTTTCTAATAATAGGTCAAATTATGAGGTCAAGCAATCAAACGTGAATGCAATCAGAACAAGTGATAAAGCTAAAATTTTGATCTTATTTTTGTAATTATTTTGCTTTTATTAACAAATTCATACTATTAAAAACAATAATTAGAGTGTAACTGATAATAACTATAAGATCTAATCAGTTCAAGTTAAATCCGATCACTTAGTGTTTTTTTTTTCTAAGACAGGATCGACCTGGTAATTAAATATACTCATTTATATATTTTTAAATAATATTGCGCACCAAATTTTTTAAAATTATACATCGAGTATATTTTTGGACTACTCAAAGTAAACCAATAAAATTCTTTAGAAAAAAAACTGCAAAGAGTTTTTGAATTACAGAAAAAGAGATATAAATGCAATAACAAATTTGAATTTTCTGCAAAATTATCATCAATAATATGCAAAAAGAAATTTGAATTATTTAAAATTTAAAAAAATGACAAAATATGAGAAAAATACTTATTTAAAGTTGTTTAAAAAATAGTGCAGTTTTGATTTTTGCTACTTATTTACCTCATTGATTTGAATATCAAACCATCGGGATATACAATAACCATTACATTTGGTGTTGTAACTTCTTGGAGGTAGGCAAATTTAGAATTTACAAAGTAGAGGTCAGGTTGCCAAATACGATCAGCAATAAATTTATGTGTAACAAGGACTGGATGAGTGCAATTATGTGCTAAACGACGATCATACCAAGCCAATGCAAGGTACATATCAACTTCGAAATCCTTCAAAAAATTTGAGTTCAAAGTGCAAAGGTGAATTTTAAAATCGAAAAAATAGACTATTTTAAATCATTTACACTTATTAATAACTTTTATTGATATAATTAGATATCGACAATTTTACTGAATATAATGAGCTCAATTTTTGATAAAAAATATTACTATAAAAAAATTTATTGCAAAGAATTTAAAGTAAACCATTGTTTGGGCTTTAAACGAAGACATTGATTCAATGTAAAGAGCAACAGATACCACGGTTGTTTTGCCTATAAATTGACCTAAGTTTTTGATCTAATTTGTGTGTAATATTAAACTCAAAGTAATTACAAAAATAAAGTAATAAACACATTTAGATAAAATAATATGCTAAATTGGAATTGATTTTCAAAGTAATTTTTAAAAATTTAAATATAATTCTTAAAGTATTCAAGTTTTTATCGAAATTTTAGCGAAAAATAACGTGAAGAATATTTTTAGTTGATTAGATTCAAAACAAGTTTAGCTTATTAAGGCAGAATCAGATCAAATTAGTCATGTATGGTTGAATTTGTGCTTCCGAAAGAAACAAAAAATTAATTAAACCTTGAGCTTGACTCGGTGTCATAAACATGTTATAGCCATCTTTGACAACACCATTGCCAATAATTCGTAATAAGCGGTCAGCTGGTTCTGACCTATAAAATTTGCATACTGTTTTATATTAAAGGAATAAAAGTATTACATGATAATATAAATTTCAAAGATGTCATAATTTGTAAATGTAATTAGATATTCCTCAACAACTCTTTTTGATTTTTTAAATAACATTAGCTGATTCGTTAGAAAAAGCTACTATTATTTTAGATAAATTTAACAGTTATCAGTATGATAAAGCTGATAATTTCGCATATTTTCGGCTTACAAACACGACTTGCTTTTTTACATTTATCACTTTTATATCAGTAATTTTAAATCAGTGCAAACAATTCTTTGTTATGGACTAAAATTTGCTTGAATTTGAATTAAAACTAATCCTATCAATCATAAATTTGAATATTACGTATTTTTGAAAGGCTCATTCATCATTGGCACTGCTGCATTTTTAATATTAATGTGACATTACTAAACCAGACATTATAAAAAAAATACAATCGTTGAATTAACTTAATTAATATAAAACTCGAAGTACCAAAGTAAATCGTCAGGTTGATTACCGGAATTCCACGATTCACAAATTGCGTGTGTTTTAAATGCTTTATCAAAGGCAGTTCTCTCGTAAGGATTTTGTGGATGCTTTGGACTGAACAAAAATTATTAATTTCAGTGCCAAAAAAATAAAATATTGTAAATAATAGCGTAATTTTTACTTAATTTCCATAAATTAAACAGTTTACGAATAATTTTTTATTGTAATATAAATAAAAAGCATTTATTTATTGTGAAAATAATATTAATATATTTTAAAAAGATTTAATAATATAATATCAAAAAGCGCTTAAATTCTTTTCAGTGTGAGCAATTCATAATAATTTTAAAATATGAAATTAAAGTGATTACAGTAGAAAACGTTATTTTTTATTCGTTGAAAAGTTGCTTGTTTTGGATTTAGAAAAGAGTAAAATCACTATAATTCACAATAAAGTTAGTCAGTAAATAGGTTCCTAATACTTCTTAAGTCAATCGAAAGCTACTTTAGTGAAAAAGTAACTTCTGATTTGCGCTTTACGTGAAAACTTTCAAGTGTAATGAGCGCCAAATGTAAGCGTGAAAACTTTCAAATGTAGTGTGGGCCAAACGTAAACGTAAAACCTGTGAAGCTTTTTTTCAACAAAGTATTTTTTTTTTTATAATTTTAATGGAAAGTAAAATTTTGAACAAAAATTTCAAATTCTATTAATTTAATATTGTAATCAAAAAATTTTGCTGAAGATAAAGAATCTGAAGCAGTTGTAAAAATGTAAATTCAATTAATGAAAATTTTAAATATTCTAATTTTTCTTTTTAAATTGCCTTGCATTTTTGTTCAAATATTCTACAAAAAATGTATTATAATCATTAATTTTATAAGCCATAATAATGTTATAAAACTAACTTATCTTTAGGTAAACTATTAGCTCCATTGAAATTATCAAGGCCTTTTGATTTTTTGAATTTTCTCTGAAAATATAACATGAATATTATTAACAGTAAAAAAATTTTAATATTTAATAATTTACTAAAATAATAAAAAATTTTTCTAACTCAGTTAGAAAGATAGTATATTTGAATAAATTTTTTATGCAAATTTTTGTAATGGAACATTTTTTTACAGTTTTCAAAATGTAATTGGAAAGTCATGCTTTATTTTTTTAAAAGTTATATACAAAAGTAAATTCAAACAATGGTGAAAATTTTTCCACCTCAATGATTTATTTTTGGAATATTTTCAAAATAACATTTTTTTGATCAATATTATTTATTAAAATATTTGCAAATTTAATTTTGATTTCAAACTGAAATCAACGAAAAAGCTTATGTTTGATTGAATATATTTTTCAGAGACATTTTTGATTCACTAAATTTACATAATTAGCAAAGTCTTACATTGTAATTCTAATATAATATTATTTATTTTACTCTGTTGATTGAAAATAATTTCTGTAATTTTTTACATTTATATAATTGTAACTCATTTATTATTTTTATTAATTTAATATAAAAAAGTTATAATAAATTATTAATAAATAATTGTAATTTAATAGCAAATACCAATATAGTTGATAACATTTATCCATGTAAGAGATAATAATGCTTACCTGATAATATTCCTTTGTACTCAATACATCAGAATTATAAGCACTATTAGAAAATCCACTAAAATCTGATTCATACTCGAATGGATAATTTTCATGTGCCTCATATAACGATGATCTGGCCATAAGTATTACAAAAGCTAGCCAACAATCCATTACCGCCTGGGGCGCTCCCGGCCACATATATCATTCATCGTCTTCTTCTACCAAAACATGCCAAAAATTTAATATATTGATTGACGATAATCAAATTAAAATCAATTAATCTTGTTTGAAAAATAATCAATTAAGTTTATTGAAAAAAATAGTATCAAAAGCTTTTATAATTGCTTTTATTAAACAGAAAAAATATTGCTTCCAATGTGATTAAGTTTAAAATTAAAAATAAATAATTAAACAATTTTATAAAATTTGAATAAAAACGCAGCGAGTGAACTGACAATGAAGTCACATCTGTTCTTAGTAACTGTTTATAGAATTTTAACAGTAATAATTTTTAATTATCAAATAGAAATGATCTTTCAATTTATTTTAAATTAAAATTTTTTTTTAATTCAAAAATTTTCTTTTGAAAATTTTTATTGGCAAAAACACAACTTGTCGTAATTGTTGTGAGTTCATAATAAATATACAGGATTTTAAACATTCAAAAAATAAATTCAAAAAATACATTTACAAATTTGCAAATATATTTTAGTCTGAAATCTATAATTGTTGCAAAATATTTTATGAAAAATTTAGAAATATACATATAAGGTAGTAATAAGCTGCGCAACAAGCATACTTAATCCTTCAGACGTGAAAAACTTTTTCTCACGCATATTTTAGGCATAAAATTCAATGCAAATATGAATTTACTCGATAATATACAACAACGTGAGCATTATTTATCACTTGTATTCAATTATCTCCTATCAATTTTTAATGGCTAACAACGCAAAAACATTAATAACTCTTCCGTGCATAATAGCAATTGACACTTGTTTTGAAAACTTTTTTTGTAAGTCAAAGGTCAAAATTATTGCACGTAAAAAGTCTTGATAAAGTCGTAATGATATAGTTGACTTGTACAGACGTAGTTCAAATTTAATCATTTGTACTGCTTTATCATTAATATTAATTTAATTATTAGAAAACAAATGATCAATACATGGATTTTGATTTTTTTTAGAAAATAATAATAATTGCTAAAATATCCAAAATAAACTTTTTATTCCTTATATCGCTGAGTGCTTTAGATTTGATTATCTGAAAAAATTAAAATTCAATTTTTAACTTTACTTAGCATTAAAAAATAATATATAGAATTAGTATCTCAAATTTGAAAATATATGAAATAAAAGTATTTAAACAACAAATATTAGATCAATTTGTTTGCGCACTAAAGTAAGGAATGTAAGTCATTAGATGAAAATTTGCATATTTTATCGCTATTATTCATCATTTATTTACTATTGGCCATACACTCAAAAAAGATTTTATTTTTTGCTTTAAAAAGTAATTTTGTAAGTATTTGGCTAAATATGGTAAGATTAAAACAAACTTTTGAAAAATCTGCAAAAATTAATTCATGTCTATAAATTTTATACACTTCAAGGTTTAACAAAAT